TAAGTGCGTGAACCAAATGTCCAAAAACCCGCGGTTCACTTCATACTGACATTCTCTACTACTCTTACGTTTCCTGTCTATGGGTGAACAATCCAACGCTTAAAGAATTCTTCGTTACCATGATAAGACGAGCCGACATCTAAGGATAAAAAAGTAATGTCGCTATTAATGTTTGGCCTCCACAAACCAGTTAACTATCCTGTGGTAACTCTTCTGATATCTTTTTATAAGAATTATTTAAGTCAAAAGGGTCGATAAGGTGTGCTTTCGCAGTCCTTTTGCATACTAACATCAGGGTCAATACAGTTCAAGGCGTTTTCTCCACGAGAGGTATTTGTCCTTGCTGAGTTGGCCTTGGGACACCTGCATTATGCTTTAGTCGACTCCCCGCCTGGCAGTGTACTCGAATCAAATCTGCTGAAAGTATCCAAAAGAAAATCCTTATTAAAACCACAAAAACGACTAATGGTTCAAGAATGCCGTAACAGTCGCCGCCTCAGGAGCGAATAATATGTTTCGCGTTACCGAGTAAGTGAAGAAACGATAAAATATGTGTGAACATGGAGTTAGTTTTAAATATCGAAAGCGATGTAAGTGCCCCCAAATATTCTCAAGGGCAATTCTTTCGTATACCAAGATCCTATCTTTTGCAGATAAAATCCATGTCTGGTGCGTAATTTCTAAGAGGGGTATATTCCGACCTTTTGTGGGAAGAGTCGGAGTTATTTATGTGTGTTGGTTTAAATGTGACTCCATTTTGTATAGAATAAATATTAGTTTTTTTCTTCATGTCACCAAAGAATGGAGAGGGGAAATGTATAAATTGTTGTATTGCTATAATTGTCAGGTGTATGTTTTTTCTTATTATGGGCAACGTATCTCCAATTCTGAAACTTTATGGGTAGTTTTTCCTTTCGCAACTTCTGAGGCTTTGTTTCTTTCCTTTGTATTTTAGATTCTGAAATATTTTGTGACATCAATAATAATAATAATAATCTTTATTAATAGCACATGGCTAGAAAAATATAACATATAAAATACATCAATTTATACCCTTAAAATTAAATCACAATGCTTTGCTTAACATATATCTTACATAAATTTTTAAATTGAGCTAAGTTTCCAGAGCTAAGTTTATATTGCTTTATATGAAAGACATACTAAGTAACACAAAATTAAAATGTATTTTTCATCTTTGTTGATTTATTTATTCTGCTTCCTACTTTTGTGTATTTCATCCTGTTCTTCATTTTCACTCTCTTCTTCTAGATTTCTGGTATTCTTTAAAAGTATTCAGCATTTCATCGCATGCATTTTCAAAATCATTATCACCCAGAAAAGATAAAAGTTCCTCTGGTCAATTATATCACCTAGATTATAACCTGATAAAATTTTATAATTGAGGCCAATTGTCTATTTCAGTGGACATGTAAATTGAGTTTAGAGAATCCATGAATATTTGTATCATAACATTTATCGATTATTGCATCATTGCAATGGTCAATCGATTAAAATTTTATTGGAAACATAGATTTCTTATCACGGGCTACAAATGGAATGCATTGGTATGTGAAAAGTCTCGCGCACAAGTGAAAAAAAAAAACAATAATAACAAAAGAAACGCGATAAAACGCAATGAAACGCAATAAAACGCAATGAAAGGCACTAAAACGCAATAAAATGAGAAATCGTGCCACCACACACTACGTGGAGTAGTAAACGCAGTTCCGTGCGTAAATAATTAATAAAATAAAAAAAATTAAATACAATTAAATTAAATTAAATTAAATACAACAAAATAAATGAAATAAAATATAATCGAGTTGAATTGAATCGAATCGAATCGAATGGAATCTTATCAAATCAAATCAAAACGAATGCAATCGAATGGAATTAAATGGAATGGAATCGAATGGAATCGAAACGAAACGAATTATATGGAATGGAATCGAATGGAATCAAATCAATTAAAATGGAATCGAATGGTATCAAATCGAATTTAATCGAATGGAATCGATTTGAATCGAATTTAATCGATATGAGTTTGAATGGAATAAAATCGAATGGAATCAAACTGAAACGTATTGAATCGCATGAAATCTAATTGAATAGAGTTGAATCGAATTGAATTAAATTAATTTCAATTGAATTCAATTTAATTGAATTCCGTGCGTAGAAGATAAGAAAGTTGAATGATTCTCCTCCTCGATCAGTCCTGGAGTACCACATCTCGTTTTTATGGTATAATGATTGATTAACAAATTTTTATTTGTATATCTCTCAAACAATCAGTTACACATACTTATTTACTGAATATTGTTTAGTCTAAAAAGAGCAATAAAACACTAAAATGTTTAGTATTATAAAGCAGTGCCAAGATATGGAGAACTGCTTAAACGTTTCGAGCGAAACATCTTAAGATGAAGATATGGAGCAATAAAAGAGCAAGGTTTGTGGCACAGACGCAGACATTGCAACTTTAAGTTGTATAGAAGTTTTGGTAAACCTGATGTTTCAAAATTCATTAAGTTAGCGCGCTTTAGATGGCTAAGGCATGTAATTAGGCGAGAGGAGGGTGCAATAGTCAGAAAGTTTTTGTACGATGAAGGCAGGTGGGACAACCAGCCAAAGACAGACCGATACTTAGTTATTAGGACAACCTAGATGATTTAAAATCTATTCGAATAAGAGCATGAAAAAATAGTGGCCAGAAACAAAGGCGAATGGAGTATTCTGAAGAAGGCTTGACTCATAACGAGCTGTGATGTCAGTGATGATGATGGCTAATTAGATGCCATTCTTATCGTGGAAGATATGGTTTTATTTATGAAGGCATGTGTTTTCAAGAAATCTACCAATTATCGTCACAATATGAATTTGAATACTGAAAATGATATGATGATTTACAATAATGATAAGGCAGTTTTACAAATATGTTTGTCGCTCTTAAAAAATGAACAGAAGATTTTTGCAATCGCGAAAATCGCATACAAGTAATAATTTCTATTTACGTTTCCTAGTTCTATTGTTTTATTTCTTTTATACATTCCACTAAATAGAATATTATATACCAGATTATCATTTAAAACCGCATTTGCCCTTATTTTCGACAATCCGTCAAATATTGCGACAATCTACTTGTATCCCTTTCAGCCTAGTGTATCATTTAAATCGATGATGTCATGGGTAATCCGAAACTGTCGTAAATTGATGAAATAGACTTTATATGTTACTATCGATCGACTGTATAATAGTGGTAGGATATAACTTATTAAATGACACCATAAATAGCTTAACAGAGCAAACCAACTTTATTTATTCATCATAGAGAGTAAAAAATATCAAAGAAATGTTCAGAATTAATATTTTATGTCTAGAAATGAAAACCTTATCGATATTTATAAAAAATATTAAATGAAATAGATAGACTGATAAAGTTATCCATAGGGATAAATATTAGGGAAATAAGTCTTCTACCCACAATCCGTAAAAGATTTTATTACCGTATCCATAAAAGTTAAGAGAAGAGAATGGGCTACCGACTTCGCTGTTTACAATATTTTACAGCATCTTCAGGCCTCAAGAAACTAAGGGTAGAATACATTGCGTATATAGGTTATTCCACGAATATACGACTGTTTTGATTTACTGCAACAACAAATATTTTACTGTGCAAGTAGAAAGTATGAAGGTAAATTGGTTCAATCATTATTCCAATAAAAAGGGTCTACTATTATGACATCTAAACTAAAATATTTCAGTTAAAATCTACAAATAAATACAATGACGTCTATAAAGCCAAATGTGTTCGTCAGACATTTGGTTAAGCATTCCGTGAAATGTAAACACCAAAGAGGCGTGCCGGATTTCTTTGATATTACACTACACTTTATTACTTTATTAGGTATTATAACTGTAATAAAAAGAAATATACTATTTTTAATATAAATGAAATGAAATTGGCGGAACAATGGTTCAGAAACCAGAAAAGGATCTAATATTTCACTTTGTTAGTTTTAAATATTTGTTTGCTTTGAGTTTATGTACTCTTAAAAGTTCCGAAAGTAACGGGTATAATATACCGGCTAGGAGTCGTTACAGATATTAAAAAGTAACGAAAATTTTATATACACTTTCATATATCGTCGACTGATTATTGCTGTGAATCTGATCGTTGATGATAGTTTTAGAAGATTAAGAGAATAAGTGAATAAGTAAGTTTTTTTGTTTTTTTTAATACTAATTGAATATTCGATAATATGTACTAAATAAATTTACACCATTTGATCACTTAAGTATTGTTGCATTTCGTTAAAATCATAATTCAAAAACCAACTTGTTTACAATACTAAACTATATGATTATTAATTATATACTTCAAAATCTGAATTGTTCAGATTCAAAAACTGTTCTATAAACTATTAACTTTATATTTATATCATGACTTCATATTTAAATCTAAGGTTTTTATTTTGTCGTAACAGTATTTTAAAAATGGGGAGAATTTACTATTGTACAATGCAGCACATTGGACCATTTAAGTCGACACCTTAAATCGAATTTAAAACAGTCGTATATTCGTGGAATGGAGTATATAAGCAAATATGTATATGATAAACAAACAATGATTTAAGTAGTTCAGAGGACTTAATCAATAGTCAGTCAATCATGACGAGTAGATACAATAAATAGAATGCTCGTAAAATTATAGAGTACTCTGATTTCAATATTTTGCGATTTTTACACACAAAATGGTTGCATTGCTTATTATAGGTATAACCTTTCCCAAGCTAACTCTCTCGTATTGTAACTTGCACTGACGAATTGTGATATATTGTAAATATGTTTGTTATTTGTTTGTATTATACCATTGGCATATACTTAATTAAACACTGGTTTATACTTTCTACTGTATGAAAACTATAATAAAATTATAATTATTTTAAGAATTTGTTATGAACATATTTGGAAATAAACTATATACATAAAATTTTTTGCAGGTGCCGTAAAAAAATATTTGTGACAGATGAACTTCCATCTACCTCAGTCATAATTACATTCCACAACGAAGCCAGATCTACCTTATTAAGAACAGTTGTCAGGTAAATATAATAACTTTCATACGCCCAACGATATGTAGGTTCCATGTATGTCCAAGATTGGGTAAAATGTGTCCGTCTCGAAAATTGCTAATATATTTCTTGAGAGTTGTTACAAATGTAGGAAATAGATTAAACTTAACAATATTATTCTTAGTAAACACAGCATTTTCTGAAATATTAATATAAACGATGTTCTGACGAAACTAACGAATTATTAAAAGACAGTTTGAAATAAGAATATAATCTGACCTCCAATGTTCAACTGCAGCATCTCTGCAACTGAAACAGACATTGGTTTTTTCACTGTTTGCCACTCACATATATTATTACACTTTTTGAGGTGTATTTAGCTTCATTCGCGCTTTTTTTGCTCAAAGATACCATCCATTGGAACTACAATGTGAAGATGTAATCCCTTCAGATTCTCTACCCCTCGTTAAACAAGAGCTTTTATTAGTTCGATGCCTAGCTTCTAGAGCAAAAGAACCCTTCTTTTGCTATGTTTTATATTTCATTGTGGGTGGTTAAGTGTAAATAAGGAAAATAAGTTAAAGGAAACAATATCCAATAATTTAAAGAATGTTGACAATAGCCACCTTCGTGTATATCTCTTGGGACAGTATTTCTTCGCCATTTGGTCTATTGTGTCGACTCCACTCTTGGTCGCATTATAGAATAGATTTAAGTATATCAGTGTTATTCTAGGCATCGTTGCTCATCACGTCGTCACCATGTTGTGTAGATTAGAAAATTAGTCATTTTGAGGGATTTATCCTGGAAACATAGGATAGAAGGGTAACTGATGGAGTTCCGGACTGGGAATCGGTAAAGGCGAACATAATTGAGTATAGTTGCCTATCTTGGGTTCTTTTGATAACGTCAGGTATATGTATGCGGTTTTCTTGCATTATACCAACCATAATAACTCCGAAATCTTCATGTAGCTCGTCTGATAACTTTATGGAAGTGTAATAGCGATCTTAAGTAACGTTTCGACTATATTCTTTATTGGTTCTTTATGGTATATTGGTCTTTTAATAATTCGTTTATTGGTTTCAACTAGACACGTCACATTACCTTTTGGTCCTCTAGACTTTGGTGGAGTGCTTTCCCTCCTTTCCAGAATAAACCTCAATTTTCAGAACGTAACGATAATTACAATCTGCTAGCATCCAAATTAGAATCCCATACTTTCCTGGTTTATCTTTTATGAAAACTTTAAAAGAACAGTTTCCTCTAAACAAGGTCAGCGCTTTTCATTAATAACGAAATTCAGTCCTGGATTTAAGTATCTTAGGAATGTACCTCATGGACAAAAATATCGAATATTTTGGAATTTTCCAATTTTTGTTTTTTCAAAAATAAATTCTGGTCAATCAAATAGTTAATTGTGAATTAGAGTTTATTTTAATAATGTTTAATGACTAAAGTTAAGTTTTATGACGAAAAAATTGCCAAAAAAATAAATGAACTTTGATGGTACACAAGGCAAATATCGAACACAGTAGTTAATCAAATCTTGCCAATTACTTTCGATCACAAGATCATCCTCAGGGGCATTTCGTCAGTTGTGGCCTATCCAGCAGTAACAGAATGTCATATAATGTAAATTGGGACATAACAAATACACTAAACAAAGACAAACAAACACTTTAAAATTTAAAAATTGGAAAAGCTACATTTTTATATAGAAGCCGGAGACAGAATGACGGAGACATTCCTTTCTCTTGCCATGTTAGTTTTTAAATGCATACTCAAGAACGGTAATGAATAGCTTTGTGACATGATATCACCTTGCCTGACTCCCCTTTTTATCTTTATTTTATTAGTTGCAGAATGTAGACTTATGGTTGTTGTGGCATTCTCATATCTATTTTTGACTATATTACAATATCTGTGGTCGACCCTGCAATCTTGTAGTGTCTCTTTTTTCTATCAGGATTTTTAGGCATTGCAGGTGATCGTTTGTGCCGTAATTAGGGCGAAAACCAGCTTGTTCCCGAGGTTGGTAAAAAATCCAGCTTTGTCTCTAATATGTTTGTTATTATTAGGGTGTATAATTTATAAAGATGGTTAAGGAGACTGGTCTGTATCTTTCCAGGTCTGCTATATCTCCCTTCTTGTGTAAGAGTACAGTTATTGAATTATTCCACTTTGTTGGATATTTTGATTCCATAGGCATAGATTAAATTGCTTTTGAATTGTGGCTATCAGTACTGAGCCTACTATCTTTATCGCTTCCGTGACGACACCGTCCTCCCCCGGAGCTTTGTTATTTCTTCATCTTTTTTTAGAGCCTTGTAAATTTCGTCCAAGGAGATTTCTGGGATATCTTCGGAACCCTGATTTTGAACCTTCCTTTGTTGATATTCAACTATATCTAGAGTCGATTGGTTGCTATATAATGTCTCATAGAATGATTCCACAATTTGTAACAAATGTTCTCTGTTTGATGTGATGTTGCCATTTCTATCCTTGAGTTTGACTATTTGTTTATTTCCATTTCTGAGTTTGCGTCTCATTATTTTCATACTCTTATTTTCCTCAATGGTTTTGAGGATTTTCTCATCTTTGTATTTTTCTTTGGTCTTCTTCTGATTTCTCTTGATACTTCCTTGTTCATTCTATTTATATCGTCGTTACTAGAGTTTTCGTGGCTTCTCAGTATTGTTCTTTGTTCCATTTTTTTCTGTGTTTCCAGACTAATTTTTTCTTCCTTCACGCTTTTTGGGCAGCATTTCTTTTGAGCTTCTGTTATTGCTTCTACTATTATGTCAATTTAGGATGTTAATATCATTTGTTGATGATTTTTCTTGAAGGAATTTACCGTTATGATCTTTAAAATTTTCTTCGTTATTTGGATGTGTCCATATGTTTATTTCCAGTCATCTATCGGATCACTTTCACAAGTGCTGTGCGTACCTTCTAACGAATTCCTTCCCAAAAAATTATGCCACCACCTATAAAACTATCGGTCTTAGCGAAATTGCAGCTGACGAATCGTTCTCCAACTCTTCTGCAGACGTGATTTTGACCATCTGGCTTTCATAGTAGGATTCTGGACTGATCAGTGAAAAGAACATTTTTACAGTTGACGATATTAACAAAACTTCATATAACTTTCTATAATAAAGCTAGCTCAATTACAGTAAAATACCTTAAACACTTTGTAATGAGAAATGTATTTTTTTACTAAATTTAATAAATTATTGATTGATATTTCATATTAAAATGACAATGACAATATATGTTTCTGCTAAATATAATAATATATACATGGCAATGAAGAGAGCAGATATCCTCCAAAAGTGAGATGATTCACTTGCTTTTTCGTAGCTTGTGAATTAACATCGTACTTTTGTCTACATCCTTTTTCTTTATTATATTTTCTAATAAATATCTATTAATGTTTCAGCGTCTTGAACCGAAGTCCGGAGCACCTAATAAAAGAAATTATTCTTGTGGATGACTTCAGCGATAACCGTAAGTATTCTTGATTAAATGATTTATGTCTAAAAATTTTAAACAATTTTAAATTACAATTTATAATAATAACAACAATCAATTAACAATATTAGAAAAAATCTTTTTTAGTAAACATGATGCGATTAAAAGATGGTTTGTTTGGAATTTCCCATTTACTTACTTGAAATTCTAAAACAAACTAAATCAATACTTAAATATACGTCACTAAAATGTAGGGGCAATTTACAAAAGTTTTAATAGCTCTGTTACCCTTTAAAAAAATGATAAACAATTTGTTGTTCTTTTCTAGCTAAACTAAAATAAAAAACAACTTCAACTAAAACTGTATAAAATCCGTAAAAAAATTATTTATTGAAAGAAAAATTTTCTTAAAAACATGTGGGCATCAAAAGTTATATAATTGACTACCAAAGAGAGCGAATTTAAAATACTTAAAAACTACAATTATACATGTCAAACATATACTATCATATTATATGTCATAACTAGACATTAGTGACAAGCAATTACGCTTCTGTAACGTTGTTGACATAAAAGAAGCACTGTTACCTTTTGAGTGTTCTTATTCGAAGATGATATTAATAAAACAATTTAAGTCTGCGTACTACAATCAGCGGCAAGCATTAAAAATTGGACAAGAAATATCCTAAAAATTTGAAGTTATGGGAGGAGTGAGACAAGGATGTATATTGGCCCTGCTATTGTTTAACGTTTACTCTTAAGGACAATGTGGTGTTCGAAAGAGGGATTTTCAGTAAATCCCAATAAAATGACAATGCCTTGTTCAGAAATATGGAAGATAATTAACAATTCAATCTTCAACCATAAATACAACACCACTATCACTGTCAAAAGAAGTTAAGTACCTCGGAGTTATCCCCAGTAGGAAACTTACGTGGAATGCTCACTTCACAAATATCTCCTCTAAAGCAACACGTTTCCTCTCTGCACACATATGCAGGAAGCATCACTCTTTTAGAAAGTGCCTGGAACAGCAAAATCTATGAAAATACTAACATATAATATGTGAGTTACCACAAAAGGATATCGCACACATCATAAGAGGTGTCCTTATATTTTATACGCGTGGGTCAAAAAGAAAATGAGAACCAGGAAGGCGAAGGATTTCCTGGCTGAAAAATCTACGTAGGTGGTTTAACACAACAACCAAAAATCTTTTCACAGCAGCAGTTTGCAAAATACAGATTGCTGTGATGGTCGCTAACATCCAAAGCGAATAGGCACTACAAGAAGGATAAGGGTCAAAAACACAAAATGGAGTAGAAATGAAGATTACTGGTCCTAACACTATACTGTCATTATTCCTCGAAAATAATCCTACAATATTTTAAGCAGAACTGCTAGTATTCGATTTTTGTGCTAAAGAGTGTCTGAAATATCTTTTCAATTAAGTCTAAGTTTTATTGTCTTAGACGTTCAAGCTGCACTGACGGCTCTGAGGTCAGAAACACTCGCTTAAGTAACTAGTAAGGCACTACAAAGAAATTTTAATGGGGGTGCCACGGTATACAGTAATTTTTGATAATGAGATGACTAGAGTCTTGCTATAAAAAGAGCAAATACTCCTTTTATCATTTAGAGCCTTTCTGCGATGTACCAAAAATCCAGATAATGAAGAATGCGCGATAAGATAAGAAACTTAGCCTGATAAGAAACAAACTAGCCTACTGGGAAAATCTTTCAAATCAGGAGTAATCACAGATGTTCTAATTGGACATTCGTCACTCAGAAACTGTCTGTAAAATGAAGTCAGAGCAACATGTAGGTTCTGCGAAAAAACAGAGAAAACGGTGGAACATATTGTCTGAAATTACAGGCAATTCTTTGCCAAAATCTTAGGTATCTAAAAAGGGCACTTTCTCCTAGACGAATAATGGGCTTTCTTAGAAGTCTAGGTCTATTAGACTGAATATAGGTATTAGATACATAAAACTTCTTACAGGTCGCAGTGTCGAATGGACTACAAAAGCAGTCGACTGTAAAATCTAAATATACAAATCATGAATGTGTTGCTTGTGTGAGTCCATTTCAAATAGGTAAAGAAATAATAAATAAGACTTACTCACAATCAATTTAATTTAACTATCTGACGACCGGTTTCGCTTTCTACAATATGCAAAGCATCCTCAGGTCTCGATACAAAGTTAAACAAATGCTGAAATAATAAAAACCCATATTAGGGTGTTGTCCAATAACGATAAACAAAGTAGATGTTGTAAATTACAATAATTATGCCAATATTACATGTCTGTGGTTTTATTTAAATGAGTAAGTTGAATAAAAGGTATAAAAATTTTAAAAGTTTAAACAGACAAGGTAAGGCCCACAAATTGTTATAAAATAGTCTCTTCGATTGTAATAAATTAACAAATGAGCAAATAAATAAATAAAATAAACATTACTTACATGCCGGTACTCTATTAATTGATGGATGGTAGAACATGGTTGAAACTACTATATATTGTTGAATGGAGAACTCAATTCTATTATTGCAGTTGTTTGACAGTAAACGGGAAGTTCTTGAGGAGATAGATTTGATCCAATGAAGAAGAGATATGTGTGTGATTGTTTGTTAAATGAAAGTAATGTAATATATCATTGTGTTATTAAAAGCTATTTATACTTATTCGAGAGATATATTTTTGAAATGTGTGTTATTTATTGAGTAATTGTTTTAAGAAGGTGACAGTTTTATGACAATGAATATGTTTAGATGTAAAATTGTGTGGGTGTGCAATTATTTTCCAACCTGTAGTTATCAAATTACTTTGATAAAGTTCTATTGGCAATTAGTAAATTATTGGAAAGTCAAGTGAATAAAATATATTAAAATACAAACAATTAAGGACAATTCAAACACACTAAAACAGAAAACACTTAGAAGGGACGAAACAAACATTGAATTTAAAAAAGGGGGAAGGGCTTTAATGCACTACATCGTAGTCTTGGGCACAATGAGTTTTTTTATGTTTTATCTATTAGATTTTAGTGGTAAATTTGACAGATGTAGGTTAGCATACGTATTGGAAACAGAAGAGAACTGTCACATGCTAACCTACATCTGTCAAATTTACCACTAAAATCTAATAGATAAAACATAAAAAAAACTCATTGTGCCCAAGACTACGATGTAGTGCATTAAAGCCCTTCCCCCTTTTTTAAATTCAATGTTTGTTTCGTCCCTTCTAAGTGTTTTCTGTTTTAGTGTGTTTGAATTGTCCTTAATTGTTTGTATTTTAATATATTTTATTCACTTGACTTTCCAATAATTTACTAATTGCCAATAGAACTTTATCAAAGTAATTTGATAACTACAGGTTGGAAAATAATTGCACACCCACACAATTTTACATCTAAACATATTCATTGTCATAAAACTGTCACCTTCTTAAAACAATTACTCAATAAATAACACACATTTCAAAAATATATCTCTCGAATAAGTATAAATAGCTTTTAATAACACAATGATATATTACATTACTTTCATTTAACAAACAATCACACACATATCTCTTCTTCATTGGATCAAATCTATCTCCTCAAGAACTTCCCGTTTACTGTCAAACAACTGCAATAATAGAATTGAGTTCTCCATTCAACAATATATAGTAGTTTCAACCATGTTCTACCATCCATCAATTAATAGAGTACCGGCATGTAAGTAATGTTTATTTTATTTATTTATTTGCTCATTTGTTAATTTATTACAATCGAAGAGACTATTTTATAACAATTTGTGGGCCTTACCTTGTCTGTTTAAACTTTTAAAATTTTTATACCTTTTATTCAACTTACTCATTTAAATAAAACCACAGACATGTAATATTGGCATAATTATTGTAATTTACAACATCTACTTTGTTTATCGTTATTGGACAACACCCTAATATGGGTTTTTATTATTTCAGCATTTGTTTAACTTTGTATCGAGACCTGAGGATGCTTTGCATATTGTAGAAAGCGAAACCGGTCGTCAGATAGTTAAATTAAATTGATTGTGAGTAAGTCTTATTTATTATTTCTTTACCTATCTAAAATATACATTTAAATAATCATAATCATTAAATACATTATGAATAATGTGTTATTATTAAATTTTTTTCTGACAGTGTTGAGCAATTCCTTATTTACCTATGCTCTGATTTTATCGTCATAACGATAAAATTGTATAATTGTTCCTCTATTACTGAAGATGTCACAATTTAGCGAAACATGCCAACTGTAAAATATCCTATATATTTCTAAACTAAAACCAGAAATGCTGAAAATACGTCATCAAAATAGATTATTCTAAATTAATATTAAATTTTATGTGACATTGTTTGGTGCTGTATTGGAAATTCATTTAAACCGGTTGCGGTATTTAATACTAATTAAAATAAAATAATAATATTAATGTATATGTGCTAATCTATATCTATGCACAAATGAATAAATATGTTATCTACATCCTACACTATTTAGATCAATAGATTTTGAAAAAAAAATTATACATGAATGAATAAAAATATTAAATATCTACAGGCTGTTTCACGGCGAGCTTACACTATCTATATATTGGAAACTATTTACACGATGTTGTATGAAAATTATTTTATGGTCATTGCAAGTTATGATGAACTTATAGAAAATTCCACGAGGAAACTAAGTTCCTGTAGCTGGCTGTATACCATATATCACAAAAAAATTTTGTTAAAATCCTTTATAAAAGGTATATAAAAATGCCTCAAACGGGCTATCACAAACACATTGCAAAACGTTTTCGGATTAAACAATCCATCATCAGTGCAAACCTGAAAGTATATAACCACTTTAATTAAAAAGAACGTTAAATGAAAATGTTGACAAAGGTTAGAGCAAAATGTGGTTAATACTTACGGTTGTACATGCTAGTAGCCACCAAAATATATGGGTAAAAAACCCTTTAAATGTTATAAATTTGAATTTGTTTTACATTATTAGTATTTCTAATT